TTTTTGAGACTAGGGCCTCATCAAGTTGCCAAGGCTAACTTCAAATTTGTAATCCTCCTGCCTTAGACTCCTGAGTTGCCCGGATTACAGTTGTGTGCCACCACTCCCACCTTGGAGCCTATTTTTCCCTTGTAATTTTACTAACCCAAACCAGCATGTTCACTGAGTTTCTATTTGAAGCAATATATATTGTTGAGTTCTTGCTATGTGCAGATAACCACAAAAGATTGACAGCTGCACTATTCATAGGATAGACAAGTCCAAAAATAATTCAACACAGAATGGTAACATAAAAGCTACTATAGAGATCTGTACCATTGGAGAGGCAGCTAAGAATCCAGAGAGTTGAGCTGAGCCTTGGAGGTAATGAGGAAAGAGAATTCTGGGTGGAGAAGACCACACATACCAAGAACTGAAAAAGAATCTATTATTTGCTTTTTGGGAAATGGAAGGAAATTTTGAGTGCCAAAGCAAGAATGTGTGTGGGGAGCTGTTTATATAGCTCAGGAGCAGAACATTTGCCTATCGTGAGCAAGGTTCTGGATTCAGTCCCCAGCATTACAATAAAAGGTAAAAAGAAAAAAAGATTATGAGCAGGAATGAGGCGAGGTTGCAAAAGATGAATCTGGGTCCATTGGTAGAAACCAACTTATAGAGACCTATGCTGGACTAGACTATTTACATATCATCAAGAGAGTGGAGCTGTCTATGAGGATTTTCTTGCTGGGTAGAGATAGAATCATCTTGTCTTTCAGAGAGGAACGTAGTTGGGAAATGATTATAATGGCACATGTAAGAAATATTCATCATACTATGAGGGATTTACTCTTTTGAAACAAAAACAAAAATCCTGAGGTCTTTTTGGAGGCCCTTCTAGATGCCAGCCCCTGGGGATTTGAAGGTTAAGAAGAAAACCCTTTCTTGTCCTTGCATATTTCCCAGGTGGTGGTAGGGGTGAGGGAGGAGACAGACATGTAAACTAAGTTTTATGACAAATGCAGAGTGGTATGCACCATACAAGAGAGGTAAAGAAAGTGGAGAGAAGTGGCAAAGACTGCTCTGCAACACCTGTTCCTGGGAGTGGCCCTGCAAATGGGACTAAGGTAGCAAGGAAACCCTTAGGTCTGCCCATCCCTCACTCCTGAGAGTTGCTCCCAGCTGCACATCTCCTTCTCCCCTGTACTTTGTGTCTACTACTATTTGATTAGTCTTTGAAGGGTCCATTTTCAAAGGGTGCTTCTCACTAGACCATAGGATATGCTCATCTGGTTCCAAAGGCTTGCAAATGGGAATAATCCTCATTGTTACCCCCAGCCCACTGTTGTAGCTTTTCCCCTTCCAGGTGACTCTGTGACCCGGCAAACTAGGGTACTCATTATTTGCAGAGCACTATCACCAGTGTCTTGCTCCATTCCTCTGCTCACGCTGTGCCCAGAATGCTCTTCCATCACATTCCAAATGTGGGAGCACTGACCATCTTTGAAGACCCAGTCTAAATGCCTCTGTGATTTCCTCCAAGGGGAACACTTGAAGTCCCCTTGCTGGCCCCCAGGACCTGAAGGAGCCCTTTCTTCCTTGGGCTACCTCAGCATTTTGTTTTTACCTCTTGCTTGTCACTCTGTAATTCTGTGTTCTAGATTAACTATTTGGGTGTTTTTCCTCTACACCTCCTCGAAGACAAGGTTTTCTCAATGTTGTGTGGTGTCCTGCTCGTAGGTGTGAGTGAATAGCTAGTGCCCAGAAAATAAAGATTGGGCTAGTCCCAGAAACTTCTGAGGGATCCTCGTTACCTAAAGCAGGATGTGAATTACATTTTATATTGGAGTGTTTTTCATTACTCTGTATGTTTGAGATAAGCCATCTAAAACATTTGTTAAGCTCCGACCAGATATAGGGCAGTGTGCTCAGTGCTAGAGTTCCAGGATTAATAAAGATAAGAAAGTCACCTTCTTCTTAGGAAGTCACCCTGCACAGCAGGGGATACACAGGGGACATCACTGGGAGTACTACTATGGAACAAGTAGAGAGGCTAGGGGTGACTCTGGGGTATGGTCCAGAAAGCTATTGTGAGGAGAGAAGAACAAGAGGACCCACCCCCACAGTGGGCTCCCCTGCTGGGTGCATTAGTATGCCCAGAAGGGGATTGGGAGTGCTAGGGCAGGAGTGGGGCTCCTGATGGGGCTGGATCCCTCGGTGACTAGTGCATGTTTCCCCTTCTGGGCATGGGAAGTGGTGGTAGTGACAGGACCTAGGTGATTACCCCATCCCAGTAACCTCTGCTGGGTTTCATTTGTGCAGAAATACATCACCCCTGGCCTCCTCCCTGCAGCCACCATCGCTCCAAAGCCAGCTGTACCTCGAACACCTCCTCCCCGCAGCCCTAATGTATCTCCAGAGAGACCAAGGTGAGTCTCAGATGAGCACACCCTGAGGTTACTCCTGTCCTCAGCACCGAGTACTGGATCCTGGAACTATTAAAAAACACACACACAAGTTCACAAGTAGGGTAATTAGAAGCACATCCTTTGAAATATTTACCACAATTCTATATTGCTGCACTTAATCTGGCTTCTCTGAGGATAATGAATTTACCTAGGGTCTCTCCAAGTAAGGTGTATGATCTCACATTTTATGATTGGATGTAATTAGTGTTTTTCAAAATCAAAAAGCATTAGCCCAGTGCATTGGCACGTGCCTGTAATCCCAGTGGCTTAGGAGGCTACAGGAGGATCAAGTTCAAAGCCAGCAAAACTGAGGTGCTAAGCAACTCATTGAGACCCTATCTCTAAATAATATACAAAAATAGGGCTAGGGATGTGGCTTAGTGGTTGAGTGATCCTAAGTTCAATCCCTGGTACCCTCCCCCCAAATTTTTAAAATATTAAAAAGCATTAAAACCCAAGTGTTTAGGTTAGTAGTACTTCCTTTATTCTTTTGGTGCTGGGTATTGAACTCAGGGCCTTGTAAGTACTAAGCTCATACTGTACCATTGAACTACATCCCAGCCAGGTAACAGTACTTTAGAAAGAGTTTTGAATTGTGCACATAGTTTCTTTTCTTTTTATGATACCAGTGATTGAACCCAGGGACATTTAATCACTGAGCTAGATCCCCAACCCTTTTTTTTTTTATTATTGTTTTTAAATTTTTAGTTGTCAATGGACCTTTATTTTATTTATTTATATGCAGTGCTGAGAATTGAACCCGTGCCTCACACATGCTAGGCAAGCGCTCTGCCACTGAGCCACAACCCCAGCCCTTTTTATTTTTATTTTTATTCTTTTAAATATCAACCCTTTTATTTTTTATTTTGGAACAGGGCCTCATTAAGTTGCTTAAGGCCTCACTAAATTGCTGAGGCTGGCCTGGAACTTGTGATCCTTTTGCCTCAGCCTCCTGAGACACTGGGATTGAAGGCATATGCCACCGCTCCTGGCCACATGTTTTTCTTTTTAAACACAATCCTGTCTTTTAAAAGAACTGCTTTTTGTTCTTTAAGAAGCACATTCACTGCTGGAACTTGGCATACCCCATCCTCCAGTGCTCTGAAAATAGCAGTTACCTGACTCTCATACCCGAGACACCCCTGCCTGTACCTGTAGAGTTTGGGTCTATTTTTGGTCCATAGAAGACATTGACTTCTGGGTTATTAACAGTGATAAGAACTAATTTCATTACGGGTGGTACCTTCTTTTTAGTGTTCTTTGGTACTAGAATGTTTTGTATCCCCCGATTAAAACAAGCAAACTTCGAAGGGCTCAGTGGTAGAGTGCTTGCCTAGCATGCACTGGGTTCGGTTCCACTATCAGAGGAAAAAAAAACAGTTTAGCATTTGCTTTTTCTTCAGCACAGTCTGGATACCATGAATAGTAGTAGTGTTTACTTTGTGCCAACTGCTTTGGTAAGTACTGAAGAAGCATCTCCTCATTTCCTCCTCCCAGCATCCCCATGAGAGGGATCCTGTTTGTCATCTCTCTTTTGGTCACCTGCAAGGCTTGATGTTAGTATCTGGCATAGATCTCAAGGCTGGCTAGAGGAGTGGCCTGGCTGTGGTGCAGATGCCGCTCTGTCAACTCTTCAGTGTTGGTGGGAACAACTCTATGTTGTGTTGTTGGGGCTTTATGCAACCATAGCAGTTGATGGGGCTGAGGAGTAGCTTCCCATTCCATTATGCCCCAGAAAAACAAATAAAATGTATTATTTCATGACAAGTCTTGTTTTATTAGAAAAATTTCATAGTATCCTGTGCTTTACAAAAATATCTTCCTAGGTTATGATCTTTATAACCCCCAAATAGTAGATATGGATTTGGCAAATTAGGTGTATTTCTAGATTTCAAAAAAATAATTTTTTTAATGACACCTCAATTAACCTTTAATATTATTATTCCACTTCATGTTTAATGCAAAGCCTTCTAGCAATTTACTTCTATTTCTTCCTTCCCATCTTTTGTGTGACTATTGTCATAAATTTTCACTTTTTAAAAAAAAATTAGTGCATTAATTATATGTAATAGCGGGATTCATAAAATTTTAATTCTATATGTAGAAATCTAAAAGTGCATTGCTACTGTTTTTGCTTTAGGCAGTTATCTGTCTTTTAAAAGTATTTTACTGAGGTATAATATGTATAGAAAACTACGTATTTAAAATGCATAATTTGCTAATTTTCGAGATACGTTTATCTCTGTCAAACCATTACAACATTAAAGATAATGATGCCCAAGAGATTCCTAAAACCCCTCTATTATGCCTTTCTCTTGTTCCTCTCTTCCCATTCCCCTGCCCAACCCAAGTCTACTCACAGGTAACCGCTAACCTGTAGATTAGTTTGTATTTTCTAGAATTTTATATAAGTAGAATTACATAAAATAATTATGTTGGTTTTTTTCACTTGTAATTATTTGAGATGCATCCACATTATTGTGAAAATCAACAATTCATCCTTTTTATAGCTGAGTAGTATATTTATATCACAATTTGCTTATCCACTCACCTGTTTCTAGTTTTTAATTATTAGAATAAAGCTGCTATGAACATTTGCATATGAATATTTGGACACATGCTTTCATTTCTCTTAGGTAATTAGGAGTGGAATATTTGGGTTATGAGACAGACGGGCATTTAATTTAAGAAACTGCTAAAGTATTTTCTAAAGATGCTGTTCTATTTATGTTTCTATTGAAACCAGATTTTCTCCATTTCTACTGGTAGGTGGGATGTAAGCCTGTTTTAATGTCAGCAGCTAATCAAGACAGGGGATGCCTGTCAGTGTCCTCTCTTGAGGGGAGCAGCCAGCAAAGCTGGATTCCTCTCCCCTACCATTGAGTTGTGTATTGCAGCTCTTGGAGGCAATTCAGTTCTGTCACCACCATAGCATCAGATGCCACAGGTTGAAGAATCAGTCCCCAAGACAGCCTCTTCCCCATTTCAGATATCACAGAGTCCAATTCGTTTTACTTGTTTCTGACCTACTGGCTACAAACCAGGGTTTCCACAACCCCTTTCTTACATTTGGTTTATTTGGTAGAGCAGCTTACAGAACTCAGGGATACAGGTTTACTAGTATATTATAAAGGATATTTTAGAGGATACAAGTAAATAGATGAAAAGATAATAGAGTGAGGTCAGGAAGGGTCTCTAAGAGCTCAGGAGCTTCTGCCCTGTGGACTTGGGTAAATCACCAGCACATTGTTATGTTCTTGTGCACCTTCCTGCAAGCTCTCTGAACCAATCTTTTGGGTTTTTGTGGAAGTTTCATTATGTAGGCAAGATTGATTAAGTGATTGGCTGTTGGTGGTCACCTTCTCCCTCCTTGGAGGTGAAAGTTCCTGCCCTTTGAGCACCTTGGCTTGTTCCCCTGGCAACCAACCCCATCTGTGGTTATTGAGGGATTTACCAAAAATCACCTCATTAACCTAAGGAGTATTCAGGTGTTTTGGAAGGGCTTGTAAACAATGAAGGGCTGTCTCTCATCTTTATTGCTCTGAAGCTGTTCTGGAGTTGCTTCAGGAATCAAGGACAAAGACCAAATTCTTAAACAAAAAAAAATGTTCTTATTGCTCTAGTTACTTAGGAAATAACAAGAGTTACTGGAGCTGTGAGCATATCATAATATCATAGTAGTAGTATCATCATGATTTTATTTTTCATTTCTCTAATAAATGGCATTGAGCATCTTTTCATATGCTTATCTGTTTCTTCTTTAATGAAATATCGATTCAAGTCTTTTGCCCATTTTTAAATATTGGGTTGTTTTCTTATTGCATCATGAGTTTTTTTTTTCAAATATATATATATATATATTACAATTTCTTTACCAAATATAGGATTTGCGAATATTTTTTCCCTGTCTGTGGCTTGTCCTTTTAGTCTCTTAGCAGTACCTTTCAAAGAACTTTAGTTCTTAATGTTTCTGAAGTCCAACTTATCAATTTGTTTCTTTCATGGATCATATTCTCTGTATCATGCCTAAGAAATCTTTGCCTAAGTTCACAAAAGTTTTTAACCTATATTTCTTTTAGAAGTTTTATGATTTTAGGCTTTCCATTTGGGTTTCTGATCCATTTCAAGTTAAATTTTGTATATGGCATAGAAGATATAAATTCAAGTTCATTTCTTTTTTTTGCATATGGATATTCATTTTTTCCAGCACTATTTGATGTTAATGGTGATGGTCTAGGGGTCACGTTGTTTCTTGGCTCTTGTATTGTTTTCCCTGGTTTTATTGGGGAGCTTAGGAGAAGTTTCCAGGTTACCACCTCTCAACTTTTGACTGAAAGTAGGACAGCATCAGATTGCATATGATCTTAAATGTTACTATTATTATGAGATTAAAATCACATGGTAGCCCCAGGCCAACATGGTTCTAAATGGAGAAAAATTGAAAGCATTCTCTCTATAAACTGGAACAAGACAGGGATGCCCTCTTTCACCACTTCTGTTTAACATAGTTCTTGAAACTCTAGCCAGAACAATTAGATGAAAGAAATTAAAGGGATACGGATAGGAAAAGAAGAACTTAAATTATCACTATTTGCCAACGGTATGATTCTATACCTAGAAATCCCCAAAAATTCCACCAGAAATCTTTTAGAACTAATAAATGAATTCAGCAAAGTAGCAGGATATAAAATCAACATCCATAAATCAAAGGCATTTCTGTACATCAGTGACAAATCCTCAGAGAAACTAGGAAGACTACCCCATTTACAATAGTCTCAAAAAAAAAAAATAACTTGGTGAAAGACCTCTACAATGAAAACTATAAAATGCTAAAGAAAGAAATTAAAGAAGACCTTAGAAGATGGAAAGATCTACCTTGTTCTTGGATAGGTAGAATTAATATTGTCAAAATGACCATACTACCAAAAGCGCTATGCAGTGCAATCCCAATCAAAATCCCAATGACATTCCATGAAATAGAATAAGCAATCATGAAATTCAACTGGAAAAACAAGAGACCCAGAATAATCAAAGCAATCCTTAGCAAGAAGAGTGAGCTGGTGACATTACTATTCCAGACCTTAAACTATACTATAGAGCAATAGTAACAAGAACAGCATGGTATTGGCACCAAAATAGACCTATAGACCATTGGTACAGAATAGAGGATACAGAGACAAACTAATGTAATTACAGTTATCATATTAGACAAAGGCACCAAAAACATACATTGGAGAAAAGATAGCCTCTTTAACAAATTGTGCTGGGAAAACTGGAAATCCACATGTAATAAAATGAAATTAAACCTCTGACTCTCACCATGCACAAAACTCAAAAGTGGATCAAGGAACTAGGAATTAAACCAGAGACCTTGTGCCTAATAGAAGAAAAAGTAAGCCCAAATCTCCATCATGTCAGATTAGCCCCAACTTCCTTAATAAGACTCCTAAAGTACAAGAATTAAAACCAAGAATCAATAAATGGGATGGATTCAAACTAAAATTTCTTCTCAGCAAAAGAAACAATCAGTGTGTTGAATAGAGAACCTACAGAATGGGAGCAAATCTTTACCACAGCACATCAGATAGAGACTAATCTCCAGGATATATAAAGCACTCAAAAACCTTAACACCAAAAAAACCCCCAAATAACCCAATCAATAAATGGCCCAATGAACTGAACAGACACTTCTCAGAAGAGGATATACAATCAGTCAACAAATATATGAAAAAATGTTCAATATCTCTAGCAATTGGAGAAATGCAAATCAAAACTAAGATTTCATTCCAGTCAGAATGGCAGCTATCAAGAATACAAAAAAGTGTTGGTGAGGATGTGGGGGAAAAGGCACACTCATACATTGCTGGTGGGACTGCAAATTAGTGCAGCCAATCTGGAAAGTAGAATGGAGAATCCTTGGAAAACTTGGAATGGAACCACCATTTGATCCAACTATCCCACTCTAGTTTATACCCAAAAGACTTAAAAACAGCATACTACAAGGACACAACCACATCAATGTTTATAGCAGCACAATTCATAATAGCTAAATTGTGGAACCAACCCAGATGCCCTTCAGTAGATGAATGGATAGGAAAACTTTAGTATATATACACAATGGAATATTACTCAGCATTAAAAGAGAATAAAATCATGGCATTTGCAGGTAAATGAATGGAGTTAGAGATTATAATACTAAGTGAAGTAAGCCAATCCCCAAAAACCAAAGGCCAAATGTTTTCTTTGATATGAGGATGCTGACTCATAGTGGTGATGGGGGTGGGGGAGCATGAGAGGAACTTTAGATAGGATGAAGAAGAGGGAGGGGAAGGGGTAAATGGGTGTTGGAAAGTCGGTGGAATGAGTTAGACATCTTTACCCTAAGTAC